GGACTTCAATGCGAGATGAGATCTCTGCCAAAATTCTCCGTAGCTATGATCGGCACCATTCCCTTAAGAACCAAATGAAACTGGTGCCTAATATAAACTACTTAAGTTTTATTCTGTAATTTTCAACTCATAGAGTCACCTTCCCTGAGAAAGCAAGTTAATAGGAAATGGGCTTGGTACTGAATCTAGGCGAGCTATATCACATCGGGTTATGTAGTGACGTGGCCTTGAGGAAGCCACGTCGAACGAGGGAGAGAAAGAGAAAAAAGTAAATCTGCTAATCTCAGTGAAGCTGGACCGGTAATATAGAGAAAGCTGAACGGAACTATGAATGATCTAGACAAGTTGTGTGAAGATCAGAACAGTTGGGACTCGACAAAATTCATGGGATACTCAGCAACTGAAGTAGAAATATGAAGCATGAGCAGTGATGATGCTGTCTGGTGGGAAGAGTCGGACCTTGTCAAAATACGTCTTGATGACAAACTAAAAATCCTACAGGAGCTAGTCAACACGCGGAGGGATCATCAAAGATGCCACGACAGCAAAGAGCTCCTCTATATGAGTTGTATTCACCCTATTTCGTTTAAGGTGATGAAGGACTGGCAGTTGATTTTTCCCACAATGATATGATTTGAGCTGACGATTCCATTGAATTTCACATAACCTTGCTTTCCCAAAAGATCTTCCCATTCAGAATGGACTGCAGTTTCGACTTCGCATAGGTCTTAGCAACACCCCAAGTGGGAGTCGAACCATGACAGTGCATCGTATAATCTCGACACGTTAACCACTACGCCACAATGCCACAAGTGCCCTTGAGTCAGAGGGCAGATGTGAATTTCAAGGAGTGTTAAGCATTTTTAATATCATATTCTGTGTTGGGATTGTCGATGAAGCAAACTTATCTTTGCTATAGCAATCGACAACATTACTTTTTTCGTAAGTCTCGAAAACCTACAAAAAAAGAGCTCCTATATTTTCAGATATTGCTAGCTCAGAGGATACATCTCTTTCGGTGTCGCGTGCCAGAGGTCTAATGGCAGGTGCAGGCTAACCGACATATCGAGCGCGGTTGGTAACTGGAAGTGTACTGTTTATGGGAAAACTGTGTGAGAAAAACGAAGCCTGGGCGGCGGTTTGATGTGTGGAGTACTACGGTCACTATCACTTAATCGTGTTTGTCAGTCATGGTGGTAGAGGTCCAATGATTGCTCTGGGGTTAATGTGTCCCTGAAAAAACATGTAATACAGATTCGACAGGGGGGAGACGATAGAACCGAGGAAACCTTAAAGTATGCATCAATGTGGCGGATGGCACTGCAGATGAGTTGTCACAAGTAAATAACTGTCCCAAAGACGCACTGCCCCTGGCACATGAAAAACTATTTTGCATTTCACACGCCTTAACAACCCTTTATCAATTAAGTATACAGTTTTTCCAGTCTGCATTACCCTATCATCGGTATGCGACTCCCATACTTGGAGCAAATTTCCCACACATGACAGACTTTTAGGTTCTAGATTGTAAACTGACACAAAATATCTCATGTGAATCGCCTATGTGTCTTGATTTGTTGACAAAATGAAATTGTACAAGCAATCCCTTTCCCTCGAGTCTCCAAGATGCTTTGGTCCAGCCTATGGCATCGGTCAAAGACTGCAGACATGACATCTTGCACTTTGCAAGTGCGTACATCTACACCCGCATAAGACTGTAGAAGGGAGGTGTTTTGGCTAAATGGAAATGGCTAATGGGCATGTTTCGGGTGACAACAAACCAACCGACATGTCCTTAAGCTAAAATCCGCAAAAGTCAACCACGGTGTTTTAAAACGGGGTAACAACGTTGTCATGGTCTACCCCTACAGATCCATGCAAATGAGCCGATGGATGGAGCGACAGAAACACCGTCAATATATGTAAATGTTTACAATCTATTTCGTTTACGTTGATAAAGGACTGGTAGTTGAATTCTTCCACATTCACATGAATAGAACTTACGTTTTAATGGAATTTCACATAGCCTTTCTGCTCAAAAGGTATTCTCATCCAAGCAGGAGTGGAATGCAGTTTTGACCTAGTCTAGGGCTCATCAGCAGCGTATACACTCGACATGTTGCCCACTATGCCACACTGCCACGAGTGCCCTTTGGTAACAGGGTAGATGTGCATTTCAAGGAAGGCCAGGTATTTTTTTTCGTTTCGCTTTCTGTGGTGGGATTGTCAATTAAACATAATTGTATTTATGTGAGATGTGTTCACCCTATCTAGTTTAAGGTGATGAAGGACTGATAGTAGAATTTTCCCACAATGATATGAGTAGAGTTTCATATAGCCTTGTTTTCCCAAAATTTGTTCTCATTAAGAGTGGACGGCAGCTTGAACCTCGCCTCGGTCTTATCAACAACCCCAGCGGGGTCGAACCGTGACAGTGCAGCATGTGAACTTGATACATTAACCACTCGGCCACATTGCCACGAGTGCCCTTGGGTCACAAGGCAGATGTGAATTTCAAGGAAGGTCAGGCATTTTCCCATATCGAAAACGTATTTTTGCTATACCAATTGACTACATTACTTATTCTTCATATATAATTAGAGTTTCAAGACTACCAGTAAATCAGTAATATGAGATGCGTTTATTCACCCTATTTATAACTGATGTACTGGTCGTCTCGAAACTCTACTACTATACGAAAAATAAGTAATGCTATCGAATGTTATAGCAAAAATGCGTTTGTTTATCGGCAATCCCACCAAAGAATGTGATATGGGAAAGAGCCTAACCTTCCCTGAAATTCACATCTGCCCTGTGACCCACAGGCACTCGTAGCAATGTGGTCGAGTGGTTAACATGTCAATCTCCCATTCGGCACATTCACGGTTCGACTCCCGCTGGGGGTGTTGATAAGACTGATGCAAGGCCGAAACTGCAGTCCACCTCTGATTGGATGAGAACAACTTTTGGGAAAGCAAGGCTATGTGAAATTCAATGGAAACGTCAGCTCTACTCAAATCATTGTGGGAAAATTCTACGACTAGTCGCTCATCACCTTAAACGAAATAGGGTGAATACATCACATATAACTGATTTACTGATAGTTTAGAAACTCTACTTCTATACCAAAAAAAGTTGTATTTGCCACAGCAATCGATTGCATTACTTATTTTTTTCGTTTATCAGTAGGTTTTCAAGACTACCAGTAGATCATATATATGAGTTGTATTCATGAGATGCAGTCCACCCTGGGTGAGAATACCTTTTGGGAAATTAAGGCTATATGAAATTCCATGGAAATGTCAGTTCTATTCTTATCATTGTGGAAAAAGTCTCATATATCTCATCTACTGGTAGTCTCGGTGACCTACTAATAATAATAACGTCAAGATAAACAAGAACCAGCAATTTTGAGTTATTCAGCTTAAATAAGTAAATTGGAGAGTCGCATAAAATAGATCAGGAGATAAGTCTTGATGCTTTATAAGCCTTTATAAGGAAGATAACGTATAATTATGCTATAAAAGGAACTTTGAACCTATTCAAATTCAAATAGAAAACGCGTTATACTTTAATGCCGATGTAATTGGAGCATAAAAATGCTTAGTTTGCAGATATTAAACGAATATCGCTGAAGGAACTGGACGTTTTTGGAAGCCTTTAGGGATTATGAGATACACAACGCGAGTCCTTGCAAAGTACCTTACTGTAATGGCTCAAGCAAGTAAACGACCATATCCATACAATATTTAGAAATCAAAATACTACTTATCATGACGGTGAGTAGATATGTACTCCAAATAAGAACTGATTTCAAGCCATGATTAAATAGGGTTTAATGTTATTCTAGCGTTATATTGTAGAGTCGAAGATGGGAAAGTACAAGTGTAAATATTTTAAAATCAACTAAATTATTCTTCTCGTTAGTGAAACGCGATATTCAGATTCGAAACAGAGTATATAAGCTTGAGAGTGTTAAAAAAAACACTTAAAACTCACTTTGCTTTCTGCGAAGGAACAAGGATCCCCTGTTTCACTGGCCTCTCGGGTTTCTGACTTGTCTGAAAGTTTGTTCTTGCCAAGTTTGATTGAGGCGGCTGCATTACAAGGCTCTGGGGCACGAGACAACCCGGCGCGACGGCTTGGGTCGGGCAGATACAAGAGCTGGTGGCTCGCGTTGATGCAGGGGACCACTTCATGGCATTCAAGTTCAACATCCTGGCCTGTATCTTGCTCCCTTCTTCGGATATTTGTATTGCCTACATTTGTGATGGTGTTGACTTCACACAAGTCATTCAATGTGATGTCTTCTTTGCTTGTTTTCTGGCCATTTGTGGAGTGGCTCTGATAAATCAAGAGATTATTATCAAATTTGTAACAGCCGTTGTCCTGAATGGGTACAGCATTGACAACAACACAATCAGATGCATTTGCTTCGTACTCAGAGCTCTGCTCCTGGCTACCGAGGCCTCTAGCCAGGTCCAGTCTGTCCAAAAGCCTAGCTTCGTGTGACCAATCTCCGCTAAGTACAGAACTGTCAGCATAATGCGGATCGAATTGACTCCTGGTAAATGCGTCAAAAGGATGGTCGCTGTAAATTGTGAAGCGATTTTTCGAGTTAAGGGCTGTAATTAAAATAGAGCAGTTTTCACTGCATAAATATGGCACGAACCAATGAGAACTTCAGCATGATTAAGGAAAAAAGATGACAACATCAGCTGTCAAATTACAATTTATGTATCTGTGGGCGTTTTTAGAAAAAAAATATTCCAGCACTCAGCCGTTCTAACGTTTATTAACTATGAAATACGTGTATTTCAGGGATATCATTAACTGCAGAATCAGAACTTTAGTCATCTAAGGTTGCATAAAATGATGTATAACTGAAAGTTGAACTTCCCAATAATGAAAGAAGCTGATTCCATCCAAAATGGACTGAAGTTTCGATTTAACCTAAGCCTAATCCGCATACTAAACAGAACTCAAACACAAAAAGTGAAGCAAAATATCCAATGAAGTTATGTGCTTAGTTAGACACTCATATTGCGCTCAAAACTGCAGTCCCGCTGGATTATAATACCTTTTTTGGACTTGAATGGAAAGTTGATGTCTAGCCAGTATTGAGGGAAAATTCATCAACATAGGCGATCCAGGGCGACTGGATGCTTTATTCAAATAGATGAGATGCATTTATCCTATCTAGTTTAAGGTGTTGCAGGACTGGTAGAAGAATTTTCTCACAACGATATAAGTAGACCTAACGTTTTCATTGAATTTCACATGGCCTTTATTCGCAAAAAATGTTCTCATCCCGGGTGGACTGCAGTTCAGACTGCGCCTAGATTTCGTCAGCACCCCGGCGAGACTCGAACCATGACAGTGCAGCGTATGATCTCTGCACGTTACCCACAACGACATATTGCCACAACTGCCCTCAGGTCACAGGGCAGATGTGAATTTCAAGGAAGGCCAGACATTTTTTCCATTTCACATTCTCTGGTTGGATTGTCGATGAAGCAAATTTATATTTGCTACAGCAGTCTACAAAATTACCCATTTTTGGTTTTAATTAGGCTTTAGAGACTACCAGTCAATCAGAATTCTGAGATGTGTTGACCCTATTTAATTTAATGTGATGTAGGACTGGTAGTTGATTTGCTCTTAAGTGAAGAT